ATATATATTATGTCTAATCCTTTTTTTTGATTCACTTAGACTTTTCACCTTCTCAATATTCTGAAGCTATGGGTTTCACAGTGTAATGATATGCTGTGAGAAAGACATTATCTTCATTTCTTTTAAACCCACATCCAATATTTTATTTGAGAACCTCAATTTCTTTTGTGTAAAAAATAATGAATAACTCTTCCCTATTTGTCTTCTCGATATCAGTCAAGATGGGATCTGACAAAGATTACATCTCCTGTAAATTGAAACATCCTGTAAACTGCAAACAACCTGGATCAAACAGGTTAATTGAAGCTTTCATATAACTCGCTTGAGACAATTATTTTCCGTAGCTAAAGAGCCATTTATTTATAGAAAGGTTTGAATGACATACAATTAAAGAAGTTAAGATAAATTACTTAAGTAAGCCATTGCTCAGACTGTTCAATGAGATCTAAGAATCATTAGCAAGTAACTTACTTCTCATTTTTTCAGAAGCTCCAGCAATCAAATAATAAAAGATATGAAATGTTCGCTCATCTTTAGCCTGACGAATAGCACGGGATTTTTCAAGCAAATCTGTTTGTCAAGTGTGTTAAAAAAAAATCAATAACATATTTCAGTTCTTCATTAGTTGTGCCATCAGCCTCAGAACCATCAATAGCACTGCTGAAATATTTGCCACAACTTGTCTAGCATAAATATGCATCTAATCTTGTGGCAGGAGCTCTGGTATTGGTATGATTCTCGTCACAATGAGTAGATGAATTCCCTACCTCTTATTGTATGGTAAATGCTCGTAATCATGGTAATAAGCACCACAATAGACATAAATGCTTTTAAAATCAGATATATAGAAATAGTATTCGCAATATGATTCACACCACTTTTAAAATCAATTACCAATATGATTCTTTCAACATAAGGTGGGGCTGCTAGAAAAAAAAGCTCTTGAAGCTAGTATTGCAGGTGTAAAAGCAAACTTTGTTTACGGTCAATTTTTGTGACTATAAACTATTAAAAATGAAGTTGGCAATAGTGTAATTATTTCAACATCAGTCAGTGATTCACTCTTTAAAAGCTATAGTGCTATAGATAAAACTTCAGTTAAGACCAAAAAAATTAAAACCTGATTTTTTCTAAATATCACTTGTCAAAATAAGAGCAGAAAGATAAACTGTTTGTTGTTTGATGCTATATCAAAGAGTTAAGGTCCTTCTTTATAACCGCATCTTTCTTTCTCTTTTATTGGAGCAAGCATCTCCTCTATGTAAAGATGAGCAACGCAGCACTGAGGAATCTAGCTACATATTAATTTGCTCATTGAAACACACTGAATCATAAGCATAACCAAGGGACGAGACAACAGTACTTGGCAAGCAAAGTCAGCCTAAGCTGAATTTCTCTGAAAAGTCTGTACTTTTCCTGAAAAAATACATGGAGGTTACTGATACATAGCTCACTGCTCTGAGTGTGTAATTTGAAAGAGCAAGGCAGTATTTAGCATCCAGAGCAGACAAGTTCTCTGGAAATACCTAACGCTTGATGCTCCCTGGAGCATCAGCACCGGCAAAATATTTACTTCATTTTAGTTGAGTGAGTTTCCAGAACATGTAACTTCTGACCATGGCAGTTTAACAAAATAGGCAGAGATCAAGGCAATTTTGGGATAAACTGTCCCTTGATTTGACAAAGGGAGAGGAACTGTAAGGACTCTAAGACAGCTCTTCTGACTGCGCCATGTTCCTTCACTTTTCCTGTCTCTCTTGTCCTTATTAATATAAAGTCTTCAGAGGGGTAGAAGGAAAAAGTGTATTACTTTTATTAAAATGACCCTTCAGTTCTCCAGACATGAACTAGAAAGCTGTCATACTAGGTATTATATAGACTTCTACCATAGCAAGTTATTCTCAATGCTGGTTTTTGGAATGCCTCTATCCCAGTAGAACATATCTGACGTTTAAGATACCTAAACAGAAGGGCATGTGCAGCCACGGGCTTAATCAGTCTGCAAGGCTCAGGATCCATCCCTTACAGAAGCCAGGGTGCACAGGACTGAAGATGAGATGGTACAAGCATCTGGACTAAATCCCAACATGCAGTCAGGACCAGGACAAAGTGCTAAACTGGGACTTAAAAACTGGTAAGCATGCTCCAAGTTCCTGGGTAAACTGCAGTGGTAATACCAAGCATTCGGGTTTTTTTTGAAATGCCTGTCACAGCACCAGTAAGAAACAGTAAAGTTTCAGACCTTTTTATGCAGCTAGAAATGTAGGCCACAGGGAACTGGAGTGACCCGTGCAGGATCACACTGATATGAAACATAACGATGGCATGGCTCTCAAAATCACATGCAACCTTAACCGCAAAGCAATCTTTTCCCATTATCGTATTATTGGGACTCTCCTTTTAACGTGCCCTACCATTGCCTTAGGTATGGTGCTTCCATTTTCTGAAGCTGTACATTGGAAATAGCACACTTCCCTATAGCTGAGAAAACAGACCTAAAAATGTAAACATAAGAGCAAGACAAATGGAGAAGCTGGTATCAGCATAAATGGAGCAACTTCCCTCCATCTTTGTTTATACCAGCCCCAGCAATATTTGCCTTTCTTAGACATGCAGTGGAGCTTGTTTATCTTACTTCCTTTGGCTCAGCCTAGCCAGCTTCCAGTGCCGCTCACTGAAAAGGATACAAGTCTCTATGTTTGCTCCGACAATGTAGCCTGTCACGTCAAAGTTGATGCGGATGAATTTGCCCTGTGAATGAAAAGAAGATCTAGATTGGGCTGTTCTTGCAGATTTTCCAACATTAGTATTTAGCCTGTTTATAAGACATGTACATCATCCTCTTAAGAGCTTGATTCCCTCCTGCCAGCACAACCCGTGGAAAAGCCTGAAAGGAAGTGAACTTCTCTGATGTTTCCTCTGCAGAGATTTGCCCCCACGTTTTGTTCAGGCACTTAGAGTGGTGGAAAGGAGTCCAGGCTTTGGAAGCTGGGGATATTCTAACATCTATTTTCTACTTAGTTTTCCACGAGTTCAGTGAGGGAATAGCATTGGATCTGCGTAACTCCCTCTGTTAAGCTTCATCTGCATGGATCCCTGAATTTTGCAGGGAGAGAGCACAGGTAGGAGAGGAGGGTCTGCAGGGAAAATAAGCATCTGCCAGCACTCACAGAAAAAGGTGTCATCAGATAGTGACAGCCCTCAGCTTACATCATTCTAACTTTAACCTCTATGACTGTTTTTTTCTTTTTCTCCTGTAGTTTTTAATTTAATGTATTAACCACTCTTGCTAAGTAACAATCACACCTTATGAGATATATGCTCAACAGTGGTGCAAAGAAAAAGAAAGCACAGACTTTGTTTGCAAATACTGTGAAGGTAGATATGTCCTGGAACAGGAATTGGCTCTGGAAGACCACACATAAATTGCTAAATTGTGAGAGAACACGGGTACTGTCAAGTTTGAGCTTGATCTTTAATCTTCTATGAGGCCAAATTCCTATTTCGGAGAGGAATTCTAAACTGTTTTTAAGGGATTAGTTTTAAGATGCTCCTTAGAGAGAAGCACTGATGAGGGCCACAGTCTGCACACTGTGTTGTAAAGGATGCTGTCCTTCCCCCAGCATAGACCCAACTGGATTTCTTCTACTTACGAATCTGGAGGAGTTGTCGTTCTTCACAGTTTTGGCATTTCCAAAAGCTTCAAGAATAGGGTTTGCCTGTAGAAGCTGTTTTTCCAGCTCACCCTAAAATTCATTCAGATACAGTTAACCCTAAACTTCATAATTACTTAATTAAAACCAACAAATGTACACTGGAGAAAAATGTGAAAGAGAATTTAAGCCTCTAGCTTTTTTTTTTTTTTCTGAATACTGCACTTCATGTGGATTTGTTTTCATTCTATGTTAATCTTTGTGTTTATATATTTGTGCAGTTGACTGCCATCCTGTATACATGACCCTTTTCCAGCCCTGTTGCCCGTGACAGATCAAAGCCTATTAATCTGTTTAGCATCATGACTGGCCTTTCTTAAAAAAAAAAAGGGTCATTCAATGTCAAATTCTTTTTTTTCCAGTTCAATATCATTTTTAGAAGGGATATTCTTAAAGGAACTTCTAGCATGTCTTTTTCAAGTTAGTTTATTGAGATCCTTTGCTAGCAAATGACGAAGTAATTAGAGTAACTTGCTGAAAATCATTTTAATGTAATGCAGCACAAAGCTACAAAGCAGATTTCATCAAGTCTATTAATAATGATCCATGCAAGGCTATTTAGGTTAAATATGGAAATGCATTGATTTATTTCAAACTAGGATAATGAATTCTCATGCAAACACACAAACTTCATATTATATTGTTAATTGTGATTGGTAATTGCTAATGAAACAAATCATGCAATGAAACAAGCATGCATTTAATACTCCTATTTCTAAACAAATCAATTAAGTAAAAAAAATCCTTTCCTTATGAATTTTTTTGAAAAGCTTTTTAGAATTTTTCATTCAGCTCGGTCCTATGAGGTCACTCACTTTCACATTTGCTTCTTGTCATCCTATTCTTTGAGAACTACTCTGCAGTAATATGCATTATTTCAGATAACTCACCCTGAAAAGGAAAAAGTCTCTAATAGATAATATGATATAATTTAAATAATTTTAATAAGAAAATAAGGCAATGTTTAGGTTAAATCTAGGGGAAATAATTTGGAAAATGAAAATGCTTCCCAATTAGTATGCAAAACTGGTAACTTTTTTTCTAAACACCATTCCTGAGTGTCTTGTAACTTATGTGGCAATGATGAGAGCTGCCTCAAAAATATCATTAAAAACCAAAAAATTGTTAATAAATGGCTAAACTTATGTGCAAGGTCACGAGACAGGAGAACGAGCACCTTCCTGAGAGCATAGATCTTTTGAGAGCTAAGGCATGTATCAAGACTGCATTTTGAAAAAAGGAAAATAAAAACCCCACCAAAAATCCCCCAAAAATTAATACCCGAGAGTTGAAGGAAGAGGGAAGAAAGATCCCCCAACCAGCTAATACAGGAGTCCTAGAATAAGTAATGAATTCCTAAAAGTTCCTGAAGTTTCTCTGTACTGAGCAACTCTTTCCAGTTACACTCTGTAGACTTAAAAACTCCACTGTAAGTGAAGGGTGTTGCTGAAATCGGATGGTGATAGCTGAAACAGAGTCTTGTCTGCTAAACCGAGACAGATACCACCTGCTTCTAGTGAGAACTGAACTACACCGTAAGTTTGGGCTATAAAACTGTGGCTCCAAGTTAACAGCGTTGTGTGCAGCTCTAAGTCCACTGAATTCCACCGAGTTGCCTATGCCAGCAATCAATTAGTTTTTTTTGCAGAGAGCTTGTCAAATGAAGTGCTAAATTAACTAAGGGGCAACACATTGCCCTCTGTCATAGCCAAAATCTGAGAGGCAGCAGTCAGAATGGGGGAAAAAAAACTCCATTAAAAAAAAAATTTAAAAACCCCATTTGCGTGGCACAGAAACAGAAGGAACATGCCAGCAAACTTGAGATGTTCCCAAAGCGTTGGTGTGCTGGTACGGCACACCGCAGTACAGGAGGGCCTGTGAGGGCCGGTAAGAAACTGCCATGTCGCATCTGCAGCCACACGCTGCAGTGAGAATTGCTCAGTAACACATCGTAGCAGCAAGCTAAGAACATGCTAACTTTCGCAGACGTGAACAATTCTCAACAGTTACATGAAAATGTAAAATTGAAAGCAATATCGAATGGAAAGCATGCAGCCATACAAATCAATCCAACACCGTGAGGTTTAGGAATTATTTCACAACAGTCCTAGAAAGTTCAACCTGAAGCACGGAAAGCATTTGGGTATTTTCATTCAGAAATCACGTTGCTGAATTTCAGGCTGAGTGGCTCTTTCAGGATCGTGGGAAATGTCATTCAAACTATGGCAATTTGAACACACACATATAGAAGAGAGTGATATTCGAAAGATGACCCTGCCTGTGTCAGACCTCATTCTTTACCATGGAGCCTGACACAGTTAGGGTTGATTTGTGAGAGCATTTGGCGCTATTGTTGCTTTTTATCACATCATACAACATATTTCAATGAAATCTCTCTTAAGTTTTCGAGGTGCAACAATAGCATGCAGATCTACACTCAGTGCCTTAAACACACATCAAACAGTCTAAGTTACTCACGTAAGAAAAAGATGGACCTTGCTGTATTGAATAACGTGGTATAAAACAAGTGTCAGTATCATTTCCATTACACAGACATTTTTATTGTTTTTCCTGTATTAAAATAACCAATATACAGTTTCCATGCAAATAAACCAGGAATACAAATAAAAACAATCTGTTGCAGACATACCGAGAGTACAAATACTGTTAACATATATAGAGCATTTTAACTGAAGAAATAAAAACCCCGAAGCAAAGAGATGGGATTTGGGTCCATTCCCAAGTTAATCTCCCAGGGCCAGACAAGAACAGTATTTTTATGGTAAATCCCCAGTTCTCTGGTGCAACTAAGGCATTTTGCTATTCGTTAATTTTTAAGGGCTGAAATTGCAATGTCAGTAGTCCTGGTCACTGAGTTACTGTTTGTCAGCATGTTACAGAACAACAAAGACTTTCTCTCAGCTCCCATCTGGTAGATATTTTCCTTCAGGTCTGTCTTAGGGCCAGCTTGATCCTGAGACTCACATAATTCCCCAGAGGAGTCAGCAGCATCTGCAGTTACATGCCCATTAGGAATGGCCTTGAAATCATAAATGCATTTCCTCCAGCCACTGAACGGGACTCAGTAGGAAGAAATAAATTTTTTGCATAAACAAAGGAAAACTATGCTTTTAGTCTTGGAATGTTTCCACTAAATTTAATCACAGATTTCTAGAAAATACTACCCAAAGGGACAGCTGCTGCCTCCCCTGCCCCAGAGCAGAATCTGCTGTGCACAAACAACGATTATCTGTGGTGGGAGAGGCCACGCATGTCATCTGGAGTCCTCTGTCTGCCAGCGTACAGGGTAGGCAAGATTAGCTGCAAGACCCAGCGCAGGTGTGGTCATGAGATTTTTGCTTCATTTCCTGCTACCCTTCTGGTTACTTATTTTGAACTTGGTCTTGCATTTGAGACACACTGAAACATCTTCCTGAATTAAACCTGTTTTGTCATGGAAGTGAATTGCTACATTTTTTTTGCAGAAGTTTTTGAGTAACATTCAAAAGGCTGGAAATGACGCAGGACCTGGAGTTGTATCATTGGAAACAGCAAAGGCAGCTGAGAGCCTCAATCACACTGATCATCTCCAGCAACTGGGCAGGTATAAGCTCATATTATGGTTCAGAGCAAGAAAGCAAACTTTAGTCACTAAGGCAAGTTTATTACAAACTTTGAAGGAACAAAGAAGAAAACAAACTTTTTAAAAAATGTGCCTTTTGAAATTGTTCTTTCTAACAGAGGAGTCAAAAGAAAAGGCAAGTTTTATACTGGGTCTAAGAAAACTTTTTTGTTAACAAAGCCAATCAAAACTTTTGAAGTTTAAATGCTGGTATACATTTTTGTGATGCAGTTGGACAACGTGTTAGTTAAAGGCTTTCCCAAACTTCTTAATTGCCAGGGGCCAAGGGTAAAATAAGGACCCGAGCCCTTGCAGACTTCATGGCCTTCATGCTAGGATATAAATAGGTGCTATGCATATGGAAAACTATGAATATTTCTCTTCTAGCAAAGTACTTTCTGATTTGATGCCTAAGGGGTGTCAAACAAAAGGCTTTTTTCCATAAACACAGAGCTGTGACGTAATTGTGTACTCTTAATATGTCGACTGTTTGGCAAGCCATGGATGTTGACTTGCTGTTAGCACAGTCGGCTCAGTACAGTCCTAACAGGCTTGAAGAAGAGTTGAATACGGAAGAGCTCACTTACAGTGATGGTGGTGTCCTTTTTGCCCTTATGTGATGAAGCAACAACAGCCAGGTACTGAATGACCTTTTTGGTATTTTCTGTCTTGCCAGCACCAGATTCACCTCTGAAGGGAAAGAAAATAACACAAAAGAAGGTAGGTAACTAGTGGGCTCCTGCCATGTGATGTATTTAGTATATAAAAACAGGACTGGAAAGTGCCTGGCTCAGTTAGTATTTACCCCAGAACACCATCTCTCCAAATCCACCTGACTTCAGCATGCAAAGAACGCGTTATCAGAGCGATATCTCTGTCCCGTTAGTATTTTGACTGGACCTTGGGCCATTTAAGGCAATTCTAAAACATGATGCATTTTTGAACAGCAGTTTGTCTTGGTTTGGCAGCATCTGAACATTTATGAGAAGCGTAGCTGGCAAGGAGTCTGCTTGTATTTTAAGACCAAAAAATACAGCATTAACTATGATGTGGTACAGCAGTAAGAAAAAACATCAGCAGTAATCCAATAGTTTTCTCTTCTGAAACTCTTGCATTAAAGTAGACTAATAGCTTGTATCCATGCTGGAGAATAAGCGAATGATCCTGCCTCATCTGTTCAAACACTCCTTGAATTCAGTGGGACCGGAGCTGGGACTGCCTGGGGCGTCCCTGCTAACCGAGTAGTAAGGGACATCTCATGTGGGGATGTGTCTGACCAGCAGAATCGACATCCTGGCTGTGCTCCATGCAGTGTCCCCTGGGAAGCAGGAAAGCATTGGTAACTTTCCACCTCCCGGAGGACTGCCAGGATTGGAATTATTTACAACTCTTAAGCCCTCTCTTAACGTAAAATACTGGTTTTCAAAGTATAGGTACAAGGGCCCGGTTTAGTGTCTTTTCTCAGAAGAACATTCCCAGCCTACTTTTCCCTCTCCAAGTGTCACATTACATCATCTCATGTCTTCTAGATACCTTTGGCTCTGATGATTATATAGACAAAAATGCTTTTATACTGTCCTGTTGCAGCAGTCAAAAAGGGCATTACAGTGGGTGTGGATGTAACAAACTAGTTCTTTCAACTGCGTCAAGCTAGAGCTGTGAGGAGGGCAACAGTCTAAATGGAAGTCAAACCTCTTTGTCTTTGCATTTAAATTAAAATAAAAGAACAATACATTCAAAAATCCCATGGATATTTGTCAGCTCTTTTGAAACTGAAACTATTTAGCTAGATCCATTGCAGTTCTGCTTCTTTTCCTAATTAGGAAATATAGGAGTTAATTTTCCCTACCAAGGGACCAGTGATAAATGGACATAAAAAATATGAGCAAGTGTTGGACAGAACTTTCAAGACAGGATGACATTGATGTAAACCTTAGGAAACCAGAAACAATTCCTGAGGTACGGCATGATGAGAAATGGCTTTTAGAGTTTTAACCAGAAATAATGGAGATAAATATGCTGCTTTTCACGAGACCTGGGTTAATTTGCACAATTCAGAGGTTGGATTCATTTCTGCCTGGGCTTCATTGCTGAAACATTTCCATGTTTTATTGATAAAAATTAAGTGTCCTGGGAACAATTCCAAACCAAGCACACCAATTTGAAGACACATGCATACGAAGTTTTCAAATAAATCTACCTTACAACTTTGTTTCTTTGGAAAAAAATAGTAAAAAAAACTTTCCTCAAACAAACCCCGGGCTTTGAACTATTCTGTTTTATTAAAGGTTATTTGTAGTTCATCACTTGAATTGCATTTCCTTTCTCCCAGGGCAACTGTGCCCATCATTTGGCTTTCCCCTGAATCCCTGTGAGTATTACCATATATGGCATCATTTTCCTTGTAATTATCCTACCGTACTGTAATGCTTAATTTACTTAACATTTTGTTCTGCACTTTCATCCTTAACTCTTTGCTCCTGCACAGGCTGAGGGTTTTGCTATTTTCTGCAGATAGACTTTGAGGCTTTAATGTCCTTTTGAAGTGGACAATAAAAAGTTCTTCAACATGAAATGAAAATGCTTCAACATGAAATGGGAAACAGACAGGATCTCAAGAGCTACAAGTAGGAAAAAAATCTCTAAGGCCAATCAGTAATGAAGAATAATGTCCATAGCCAATGAATACATCTAGTTTTTCAACACATCAGATCATTTTTAAATGTCCATGACAATAGACAGGTCTGATAAACAAGTATCCATTAAATAATGTTAGTAGCCCTCATACTCTGAAGGATGCATCACAGCTATATGACAAGGTCTAGATTTCATCTCAGTGATAAAATACCGTGTGTTTAAAAACTAATGAGGAGGAATGGCTAGATCAGGTTCATTGCCTTTAAACATCAAGAAGCTTACAAAGGGAAGGACCTGGGAGGAGGAGAGCATGCAAATCTCTTAGTTTGCTTCACAGGTGGATGAAATTCTTCCTGTAACTATTGGGCTGCAACAGAATTGGTCATGCTAGGTTTTGTCTGTGCATCTGCCTTGAAGCACCATCATTTCTCAGGTGGCAAAACAACTTTCATTGTGAGGTGGTATGAGGAATCCCACCTGGTTTAAAATCTACATGCTCTCTTGAGCTCAGTGACTGAATTTTTAAAGATGCGTCTTTTTCTTGCAAGCATCTTTCAGTGGTTTTGGCGTGGACCATACAGAATGGGGTTCCTCTCAGGAGGCATCTGCTCCTCTCTTCTGAGTGCCCATTTTACTCTGTCTTTACACTTAATTTAAATTTCAAAGTGGGACTTCACCATATAAATGCTGTTACCTAATCATGATCTTTTGAGAGTAGACTGATGATTTGTTTAATTGAAGCATCTCCAATCAGCCTGCTATAGAGGCAGCACAGTTACTGCCAGTGCTGTTCTTTGCACCCAGCTTAGATGGGCAACACCAAAAAAAACCAGATCAAAACCAGGTCCTGTTGCACAGTTCTGATCCACCCAAGTACTTAATCTACTTCCCATATGTGTCTTCCTCCTAAGAAACTCCTTGGCTTTCAAAGAGCAAGAGGGTCTACTAGGCTTACAGGCTTGCTCTGTTAATAACACCACTCTCACATTGTATGGCATAGTTTAAATTTATTCTTCCCTCATTTCTTGCCAGGCATTGTTTTAGGAATTCAGTACAAGACTTAAAACACATAAGCTCACATATATGGTACGCAGCTATAATGGAGTTTTTGCACCACATGAGCTACTAAACCCTCCATGACTCCATTACCTTCACCTTAAATGAAAACTATTCCAGTTAGAAAAGGTTTCCAAATTAGGACAAGGTGAGACTAGCAAGTTGGCCTCACTGTTGTGGGGTGAGCCTGTGGTGTATTTTTTTGTTGAAGATTTGAATGCTTTCTGTATTAATATTACAATATAAGACTTAGCTTAATTCCACTTTTGGAAACATCTAAAAAGTAACAGCAGAATTTCTTTTCAGCGTTTGTTTCAGTAAGCAATGAACCACAAAAATTGACCGTTCACACATCTCTTAATCTGGCTGTGCTTGTGCTGCGGGAAGCCTCTGTGCACAGAGCAGTCAATGAGGTGCTCTAAATCACATTAGGGCTTGGCAGGCTTCATCCTGCAGTATGAGATGTGCAAAGATAATGAAAATCTTCATCCTAGACCAGCTATACCCTCCTGGAGACCCAGCTCGGAAGCCAGCCCACTGATCCTACTAGTTTACTTACAAAAAAATTCCCAAAAGAGGCCGAGTTGGTTCAGCACCAAGCTCCACCCTGGGTCTAAAGCTACACGAGATATCTGTGTGGGAGAATGGCCAGGCAGCAACGCCTGCCAGCTCCAGCCTTTGAGATTTAGTGAGCTGGGAAAGAAAAGAGTTTAGCTCTCTCGTGGAGGAGTCTTTTGACTAATGGGGCTTTGCAGTTTGGAGGACGTTCTGCATGGCTCTGCTTCTTGACACGTGTCAGGGGAGAAAGCAGGCTGAGGTCGTGTGGCTGGGTGAGGCTCTGGAGAGTTTTCCCAAAAAGAGAGAGGGGAAGAGGGGAAAAAGGGCAGGATGGCCACTGCCTCACGCAGTATTTTGTCTGTTACTGTATTGAATTAACTGGAAATAGCACCCTGCTACCACATGTTTTGATAGAAGCTATTCAAACCAAATGCATGTATATAAAAAAGTAAAAGATAACAAAAAACTATCTGCAGTATAGTGCAGTATTGTATATTGTATATTATATATGTTACGTTATGTTACATTACTTTATGTTATAATAAGGCAGCCACAGATATATTAGTAAGCACAGCCATGGTATAAAGTTTGTTATGTTCTAGAGAGGCAGCTTGTAAATGTGCGTGATAGGATGTGAGGTTTTAAGGCTGACTGTGAAGTGACAGAGAGCAACTGGCAGGGAATGACATGAGAGGATGTTCAGTGATGCTGCCCATAGGAAAGAGCCAACAGCAGAAAGGATGTGTGCACAGAGGACAGTAGAACAAAGGCAGTATGTGTGTAGTTAATAAGAAAATGTAGAGGAAATAACAAAGTTTAGCGAAGACCAGGAATGCTGAGGAAGCATTAGAACCCATGAGCATTAAAGACAGATGGAGCATTTTAAACATACCACAGCTAATCACAGAAAGGGTAGGGATTGGAAAAGAATGCAAACAATACTTAACCACATGAAGGTACATTCAATGAGCTGAGGGTGAAGGCCTGACAATGGGTATATTTATACTCAGAAACACAGAATCACTCCTACTTCTCAGATATACCTATAACCCAGCTTCATGTCAGGAGAGCCCTAAGGTACTCAGCATCCCACTAAACATGCCTTTGGTTTCTGGGTGAGCCCTATGAACAATGCAGTAACTTTCCAGAAGTAGTACAAAGCCCACAGCATGGAGCACTTAAAAATAAAGTGCACATTTTCTGCTTGCATTTTGTCACCAGTATTTTGGCTATGCTGCTGAATTCCCGTAAAGTGAATAGCAAGAAGTGGTATATGGGTAGCAATAAGTAGAAGAATGCAAGAGTCTACATTGTAACATCACTAAACATAAGAGTTTTTGGCAGCATCCACAACTATTTGTACATGAATTCTTACAGCTACATTTTTTACAATTTAGGTACCAGGCCTTGGAAAGTTTGAATCTGCAGATACTTAAAGAAAAGATCCCAGCTGATCAAAGCCATGAAGTCCTCAGTTATTGTTATATATTTTAGGCAAAAAGAGAATTTCTTAGAATTTTTAGCAATTCTTCAAAGTAATGCAAATTGTTTCCACTTGACAGCTGCCCAGCTGAAAGCGGAGGAAACCTTCTTTCTGTACAGCCAAATAAGGCCAACAAGGATGATAAACCAGTCGTGGTTGAAGTTGTGTACATTGGTTTTAGCTTGACTAATCTTTTCAGTTTAAAAGACATGTATGAGGACTGTTTTAAGCTATGGGTCATGATGGCCACTCAACATACAGCAGTTGTTCTAAATGTCTCAGTGAATCACTTACTGTGGCTGTTTTAAAAATAGTAAAGACATTTCATTCTCTCTATTTTATGTTACTGGTGTGAAACACCTTATGTTTCCAGCTTAGCTGGCCAAATGAAAAGTATTTTCATACTTTATATATGTGTGTGTGTGTATATATATATATGGTAGCTGTCAGAAGTGGATCCTTTAATGGATTTTCATGAACAAAATTGCATAGATTTGCAAAAGAAAGCCCCTCTCTTAGAAATTAAAATATTCCAAAGCTAAAAGAAGATCTGAAGATTTACTAATGGAAAAATAAACTAAAGCACAGGAATAGAAGGAGGAAATGCATATGTTAAATTAATCTTCATTATCATGACATGTTTCATCCTGGGAAGAAAGTGATGGTCAGTTTTTTATGTCATCATTGCATCAATTCTAGATTTGTTTTCGGTATTAATGCATTTTTGGAGAGATTCTTAATTGATATATTTACATGTAATGGAATCTTGTCACAACAGAGGTCAGAGCTATGCTAGCCCTTATGGTACCAGATACAGTCTATAATTTTTACTTTTTCTTAGGTGATGACTTTTTCCCAGTCAGCAGTGGCACTCACATATATGGTTGGTGATCAGTAGCAGTGCTTTTTGAAAACTGTAGTATAAACGTATATTCAGCCAGTCAGTAGCCACGTTTTGACAGACAACCTGAACCCAGTTCAGTTCACGGAGGAGTAAGTTTGCACAAAGAAGCCTGTTGCAATGAAATCGCTGCCTGAGCCAGGAGCAGCAGCAGAACCTGCCGTGCTGGTGAGAGCTCAAGGAGCTGAGGCCTTCAGCAAGCTGGGTTGCAGAAGAACCAAGAGAATTTGAAACAGGGCCGGCTTAGCTAGTATGTCACTGTTGCCTACAGCGATGACGTAGAGAGTGTGGACAGGCCCTGCCGTGGTCGCTGCCGGCAGGGAGATCCCGAGCCTTCCCCCTTCCAGCTGCAGTGTGTGAGACAGCACGAAACAACAGCGTGGGCATAAAAGACGGGACTTTTCTACAACGACAACTGAATTGGAAGTTATGGTGAGTTACTAACAGCTGAAAACAAGAAGCAGCTCAGTAAATATCTGGGATGCTCTGCGTTCCTCACTTTTCTTGGTTCCTCATCTTCCTCTAGGAAGCTCTAGAATCCCTCATTCTCTCTAAACATACAGTTTTACAACCACACTCCCCAATTTTTTGTTGTAAACCCTTGAATCTCTGAATTCAAAAAGTCAATTTAAAGAAATAAGTTTGTGCATTAAAGACTTCCTATGGCACTGATACCTGCTTTTTATTTTATCAACAGGTAAATCTACTGGGACTGGGGTTCATGCTTACTGAAAGCAGAGAATATGTCAGTCCCATCAGAATTTGAATCAATTTTGAATCAAGACAGACATTGTAATATCAAGATATACTAAAATAGATTAGTTTACTTACGTGCACAGGATAGACTGGTCTTCTCGATCTGCGAATAAAGAAGAAAATCCATTAATTAGAGAAAACGGCTGTGTCCTGGCAGGAGCACTTATAAATATAAGGATTTACATTGAACAGCCTAGACCTTCCAAAATCTGGCAATCCACGATTAGTCAAAAGTACTGGGTTCACATCTTATTTAATTTGCCCTTCCATTTAAATAAGCATCTCTAATGGAAATATTTTGTACAAAAAATGAACAAAAGGTTAAGAGTTCAGAATATTTTTTGTAAATTCCATTAGAGATGAACTGTAATGAGGACAGCTAAAAGATCAGGCTGTCTGTAAGAAGATTATAACTGAAAATTTCAAACCTGAAACTCAAGTTTTTACTATGTTTATGAAGTGTGGCTAGCAGCCCACTTGAGACAAAGTCTGGACAGATAAGGTATCAAAAACTAGAATGTCTTAAGCTGGTCATGCAAAGCTCTGAATTTTGAAAGCAGAGCAGTTCAAATACCTGAATAATGTACTCTCCATTTCAGACTGAGAGACAACATTTATCAAGAGGACAACTAATTTCTCCAAGATGTCCTCCAAAGAATAAAATAAACCAAGGTACTTCACATATTTCATAAAAGCATATGAACAAGTACATAAGCATTCCTCATGCTTCTTAGTATGAGCAGGACCATCAAACACATTTTGGATCAAAATTTATAAAAAGGTGGGCCAAAATCTCCATTTCTACTATGTGAGGCATGTAAGCAGTTTCTCCTCAGCAGGGTCCAGTACGCTGCAATGCCGCAGCAAGGTTTAGGATTGCATCCTAGCCCCATAACCTGCTCTTGCAGCGTTCCTCCCTGTTCATGCTTTTGGAGTTGCAGTTTCTATTTACCTTCAGACCTTTAACACAGAATTTTCTATCAAAAGGCTGATCTCAGTCTAAGATCTCTAGGCTGAGATAGACAATGAACACACACCAAGGTTTCATCATGGGCTCCACAATGCTAAACTATCTGTAAAGCTTCACTGAAGCAAGACTTCCAGAAAAGCTTGTGCTAACGGGAGGCTTTACAATTTGCCCTCTATGTAAAGATGCATGACTAGCATGTTTTCTGTGATCAGTTCTGAAGTAGAACTTCTTTTTCATTGTGGGAGTGATCAAATGTTATGACAGATTGCCCATAGAGGTGGGATATCTTCACCCTTGGAGCTATCTGGAAATGGACTCGAACAAGGCTCTGAGCAACCTACCCTGCCATTGAAGCTGGCCATTCCTTGACTGATGCTGTCACACACTGCCTTTACACACTGTAGAAAAATCTTCTGACTTAGGAAAATAAATTCCTAGGCAGGTCAAGTACATTTTTTAAAAGTGTGCATAGTTCACAAATCTGATGCTTGAGGCAGACAATTAAGGCAGAAGCACGTGTTTCTGCACAGTTTGGCATTGTTCCTCAGATGCAGTGCTAGTGTTAGCCCAGAGCAGCCTCTGGTCAGAGGTTAAGACATGAACCCCTTCCTCCTTTTATTCAGCGTGTGGGGTGACTTGCAGGGCTCCCTATCTGATCGCTTGCCCCTATTGCTGACACTCTGTGTAATAAGTACCATGAGATAAACAAGCTTTCTGTACGATATAAAGATAATGGAGATAAATTCAACCTATTAAGCTTGCAAGTTGTAATTGCCTCCTGGACCGCAGCCAGCCTAGGAGAAGCAGTAGAGGATTCTGCTATGGCTTGGGTTGATACTAAACAACTGTTTTACTCCCAGTTCCTCAATGACATTAACTGCTTTATCGATCACTGACACGGCAAATGGTGCCACTTAACTGCTTTATTCAGTAAATTGGTGCAAAATGACTCATTACGGTTCTATTGGAGATCTTTGCCAGCAATCAGCCCAGCAGGACTCTTCCACATAAATGTTTGAGAGGAAAGGAGCTGCAAGCCATGTTTATTTTTCACCGCAGGGTATGAGCTAGGCTTTCTTTTAAGTTAAAAAAAGTGAGAATGTGGTAGAATTTTTGCTAAAAATACACTGTTGTGTAAATAGAAACCATGGGCCTATATTGATATTGCATCACAAACCCATAAATACCATAAAGAAAATAAAAGTGACTCCTTGATACAGAATTGCCAGTGGAATTTTTGAGCTCAGGGAACATTAGAAAAAGTCAGTCTCCCCCAAGCCAAGTATTTTCTCACTACTTTTCTCTGCCCATTGCTGCCCTTCTTTTGCTCCTCAGAAAGTGAAAAACCCCTCCTGAAGGTATCTCATAAACTGGCCCACCACAGGGGTTTGCATGAGTGCATGTGTATGGGCAGCTTTGCTGAAATGTAAGAGCAGAAGAAGGATTAGGAAGGTCAGAAGGTGCACCAAGTGCCCTCCAGGACACAGAACAGGCTGTGCAAGCCAAGCCTGAGCTACTGAATTTCTTTGGACTTGATCAGCCCAGCACCTCATGTGGGAATAAATCCTGTTGAAATGGGAATAAGAGGGAAATGGAGGGAATAGTGGGCCTTTGGTCCTGGAGGGACTCAAACTGTGAGCAGGGACTGCTGGGTGGTTGCTGGCTCTCCAAGGATGCCTTCTGGTGAAGCAGCACTTTGTGTCTGTCTGACTGGCAGCAACTTGCTTGAGGGTTCTTGGAGAGAAAATCTGAATTATTTGATTTCAGTTTTCTGTTGTAGTCTGAAAGGCTTCCAGGATTGGCCCTATGTGATTTGGCTGTTCTCTATAGGTGAACAATCCCATGGTATTCTTGCAAGCTTCCTTCTTTGTCACTGGATTTATCCCCTTCTAACTTCCCTCGTGTTTGGCAGTCTTGAAGGTTTCAGCCCTGCGTTGTTGTGCAGCCCGCCCTGCAAAACCTCATGCACACAAACCTTCCTGTGCACATTCATGGAAGGAGAATTCCAGGTGTTACTCTATTTCCTTCAACAGTTCTAACAAATTGCGAAAGTAAGGATAAAGCATATCAGGAAATCTAATCCTATTCTGTTATGACTTGAGCTGCAGATACTGGTCTGTCAAGGGCTCTCCCATTCGATTGCTCCTTTTTCTGTTTTGGAATATTTTATTCTATATAGAAAGGACTGTGCCCTATTTTGCGAGTCTGCAACTTTATGTGGGTAGATCTATCAGAAGAAAATGACTTGCACAAATAAAGCTCCTTAACCATCATTCCTGGAGCTTAAAAAGTAACAAAATACGTCTTCTAGCTTCCAATATCTTTTTGGTTAATACGTTTTTAAAAATACTGACACTATCTGGAAGACTATTATATCCACCCCCTGTATGTCTGTATTAGATGTTTTGGACATTTTAAAATTTTCTCCTTAACTTTTAATAGCATAGAGGTCTACATTTACCTTCTAAAACCCACCAGCTTTCCTAAACATGCAATTCACTTTTTTTTTTTTTCTGGAGTCTGCTTAGCTTTTTCACCAAACACCTCCAGATTTCTTGTAAGAGTCATATGCCCCTCTGTTCTTGATAGACCAGCTAGCTCTGCTTAATCACAAACAAAATCACAATGAAGCACTACGTTGGCAGCTTTACCATAAAAGGAAAAAAACAGACTGAAACCATGTTCCAACACTCGCTTACGGCTTCTTTACATTTGTTAATAACTACACTGCCTAAAGGGGACATTTCTGTACAGTCCTGCTGAGGACACAGTAAACAGATGGCTTTTCACAGCAGCCTCCCTTTCTAAGATCTTGGGAACTGCGTTTCGCTCCTGTACCTCCCAGTAAATACCAGGTTGTTTGTTTTTCCATCTTTAACTCAAGCTTGCATAAAAATGGCTTTGCAGAAAATAGATAACCTTCTTGAATCTGCAGAAAGCAGTAATATATCTTCTCCGGGATGATTTATTGCCAGAGAACTTAATAAAAGCCTAATCATCCACATGGAAACATATCTATTACTGCTGCTACCTAACCTGACTTTTCACATTTGTATTCTTTATCACTTATTGACTGTAAATTTGTATCTATTACTACTGCTACCTAACCTGACTTTTCACATTTGTATTCTTTATCCCTTATTTGCTGTTTGCTGCGAGCAGGGAAGATGGCAGAAGGCAGCAGAATTACTCATCCTTACTGGATGGATGTCTCAGCTCCAACATCACTGGCAGCTGGTAGTGCTGCAGGAGGAAGTCATCCACCCACCTCCAGCTCCTCTTCCCTGGCCTGCACTGCCCTCTCCTTGCTGCTGTGCCCAGCATCCATGCAGCCACCTTGTACGCCAGGCAGGGGTGACCCACCTTGAAACGAATCCAGCAAAAAGCAAGGAGTGGTTTTGACCTGCAGCAGTTTTGCGTCATGACTGCACTAAGAGTGGTGCTGGCAGTGCAAGGGTTGGAATGAGAGGGTTAAGCCCTTCATGTGACAGCTGTGTCACTGGGGAGGTACTTCAGCCAAAACATGGGAGAGAGAGGTAGGTGCAGAAGCATCGGGTGATTTTTTATGGTCACAGTCTCTAAGTGTAGTACTAGTCAGCTAGTTTGCCTGTAAAGACAGTCAGTGGGGCCCAGTTCAGTCTGGTGGCTCCTGAGGACAGATAGACACACAAAATGCTCTTGTAAAATATTACATTCTCTTAGTCTTCAGATTAAAGAAAAACAAAGGGGATAAAATTTATTGTTGTTCTGGTTGGAAATGAGCATCAGTGACTGTGCCTGGGCAATAATCCTGCTGCACTGGTGATGTGGTAATCAGTAGATTCAACAAGCACCCCAGTTTGTGCATGAGAGAGCATGACTGTGATTTGTAAAAGGGTTTTAGGCTCTCAGAACTGCTTGAAACAAGTGGAAATTTTATCTCTGTCCAGCCAACATCTCTGTTAATTCCTGCGTCCTGTGAGATGTCAGCTTTTCTGCATGTTTGGAAAAAAGTCCAATTATCTGATTTCTGTTAACCATAGCTAAGTGTTGTTACTGGAAAAACTTTGATGGGACTTAAGCATCATCCCTAATGAAGATATTAACCAAGTAAGTCTCTAAAGCAGAGGAGGACCGCAGTGTGCACAGCTCACATTTTTTGCTGGATGTTTGTGCCAACAGAGGAGAGGGTGAGAATGTGAAGGACTGTGAGTCCCAGATGATGAGCCTGCAACAGGACCAGTGATCTGCAGACACAGAGGCTTGATTCACCAAAAGATAAAGGTTCCCTGAGTCATCTGAACAAGCTGATCGCTCTTGTCCAAATGGCCCTGATCATGAACTACCAGAATGTAATTCTTCAGTCTCGTGAATCTAAGATATATTTTACTCTGGCAAGAAGAAACTATGCAAGTTTCCCAGATAAGGAGCAATAGTAAAATTTCACAAGGAAAACATTCAGTGCCCTGATCCATGTTTATGAGTAAGATTTTTTATTTATATTCCATTTGCAAATATGCTTACAAAAACTATGAAACTCTCTGTGTCCATACATATTGTGTGCACACACACACAGAGTCTTGTTGACGCCCAATTTCACCACTCCAACGTGAATACAATTTGGCTGAATAACTAGAGTTATTTTGAGGTTTGGTTTAGTTTTATGCACAAAACATGAGTACGTTTTTACAAACAAAAGCACAGCTTTAAAACCAGCTGGGGCCCTCTTTGGAGATGGAGAGCCTCCAAAATGGCATGTGCAAGTAAATAAGCAAGTAAAGCGTGGGTGTCCTGGGCTTGTGATGCAAGCTCGTGTGCGACTGCTCCCCAGCTGCCGTGCCAGCTGTGCGTGGTTAGGATGGGAGGAGGTAGAAGAGCTTTCTTTTAAAATTCAGCTGATGATCTATTCCCTCTTCCTTTCTTTCGACTTGCTCTCCCTCTCCACTCTGCTGTCAAGAAGAATTCTTTGCAAAGGGAGCACATGGATAATGAGGTGTAAAGCTTCCCCAAGAGTTGGTGGGGCCAGGAAATTATTATGAGCACCAAAAAAGTGAATAAAGAGAAGCATACATTCTTACTGCCTCCTCCTCCCAGCACCCAGCCTGGGAGTCACAGGTGAACCCAGGCTGTTCTGGGTGCCGTTAATGACCACAGTGAAGAGCAAGCCAGCTCCAGCAGCTTCTCTGCTGCTTGGGAGAGTATGTTAGAGGGGACAGGAGACAGCCAGAGTGAGGAAGAGTGAAAGAGGTCCTTATGCTGCTGAGATCTGGCTGATCTGTGCTGTTACTAGTTTCATGTTAAGCAGTAAACTCATGTACTTTCAGGCCTTAAAAATTCTCATTTCAGCATAGGCTGTAGTATTATGTCTTTTCTCTTTCCTGCAGGTAGCTTGAAGCCCTTTCCTAGTTGTTTTTCCCCATCTCATTTTTAGGGACAAGCAGCAGTATTATGCACAGCTGAATGAGAACACTGCTAATGACCTGCAGGAGCCAGACGCTTCTTGCAGAGCTCCTCTGCAAGGCTTGCTGCTTAAATAAAGGATCTGAGGAAAGAAGACTGCTCTGGAAAATGGATATGTGACTGTGGCTTGGTGGGATGAGCTTATGCCAAGTAAGTTTCTTATGCGTCTGGTTACATTAAAAATGATATTTACTGAATTATGTTATTCTAAAAGCACCTGCCCCCTCAGTCCTAAACATATTTTATATGCCTGTCTTCATGAATAACTGCTGTTATAGGAAGGGCTGTTTTCAGGATGTCTTTTGTTGTTGCTTTACTGATCCTCCTTCTCTGCTGCAGTGTAGCTCTGGCTTCTGGGGTGCACTCAAAGGAAAGAACTGAAATAGCTCCATAAAAAGAAATGTCATATAAGCCATAGGAAGAAAAAAGGTTGATATTGTAAGATAGATACCTAGTGCTTTGGGTTCAGACCTGAATGAGCTGTATTTGGAACAATCATATATCTGAAAATGTAAGTTAAGAACCCAAGTTACAGTTAGAGAATCAACTTTAAATAAGTAAATCTTCAGGAGTTTAATCTTCAGAAGTTCTAAGGATTTTGTTACTGGATTATTTTGTTAGCATACAGTTGGTACATATGAGTATTCAGGACTTTTTTTGGGGAAAGACTCGTTTTGATGCCTTTGATATCAATCACCATTGGTGTGTTTGTGTGTGTCTGCTTGTGTATCTAGTGCTTGTACCAAAACAACAAAGATTTGATTAGTATTTGCAGCCAGTAGAAATCTGCCTGGGGTCAGGCAATTTAAATTGCCTGGAAGCCTATCGCATGTAAGGTGATATTTTTTTCATTGTGGGGAAGGACCTTGTCTAGTTCAAGTCTTGGTTTAGAAAACAGCAATTAACTATGATATGCCAAGCTGACTACTTGTAACTGCTAGTAAACTCACGAGGTTCATGTTTCAAGTAGGACAAGTACAGGAGTACTGCAGTCCTTGTGATTATATGTTCTGTGCAGCTGGAGAAATGCTGTGTAATTTCATTTGTGTAGTCAGATGAAGTGGGTTTGAATGGCTTAATTTCTCAGTAACAATCTCTGTGTAGGTATGCAATTATCACAAATAAATCAATGCCAGGTACTAATCTAGCAGCTAAACTGAAATTTCTAGATGCTGTTTATTGTTTTTCCCAGTGAGATCTAAAACCTATAAGGCCTAAACCTTTAGATCCTTAAGCTCCAAGCCAGGAAGCCTTTAGCATTAGGGCCGAGCCTGCGAACCTTGCTGAGCCGTAGATACTGGCCAGAATTTCTGCAGGATCAGGCCCCTAATGAGAGCATTTAAATTTCAAAGCATTTTGCAGAGTTTTGGTTTCCTGGAGCTCCCAATGTTTCTGTGAGATGGCAACTGGTCATGTCCCTGTAGTCTGTAGGTGTTGCAGCCTCCTATGTTCATCGCAATAGCTTTTTCATCCCTAAACTTAGGATTTTTCTCTAGGGCAAATGCCCCTTAGTCTGTCAGTAGCGACTGCTGAAGAAGAGCACTGTGGATTTCGAAGGGTTTTTTTGCCCTGTTTGGGGCCTGACTGCTTTCCCAGTGCTGCTCGTTGTCGTTACTGTTAGAAAACAGAGCACATCTCGACTTCGGCTCCAAAGCATTAGACTGTAATGGAAGTTGCGCCGAAACATTACTTGAATTTGCTTTGCTAGAAGAGAGAGAGAGGAGCAACACTGACGGATCCAGCAGCACTAACAGCTAACTTGGGAATAGTCTCCACTGGTAGAGAGGGAGCATTTTCCATGCCCGTATTTGCCAAAACTATTTGCTCGACTTTGAAACCTTCCCACATGCCTCGACACAGATGGGTAAAAAGGATTGTTTTTCCTTTTTGAGTCACAGTGTTTGTGGACTGCCGTTCCTGCCAAAGAATTCCTCTGAAACTTCGAGAAAGCCCGTGTTGCCCTCTGTAACAGATCTCTTTTGGCTGTGCTTCTTGCAGGAGCACATGTGGAGTTACAAGGTGTTTTCTCCCGTGTTATTGTGCAGCAGTTTCTAACAAGTGCAGCATTAAACTCGCCTACCTTGCAGCATGCTCCTGTAGGCTGTGTCCGCGATCGCGTAGATGTGGGGCGGCATCTCGTGCCTCTTCTTTCCCTTGTACATGTCGATGATCTTCTCTGAATAAATGGGTAGCTGTTTGTATGGATTTATCACCACGCAGAACAGACCTGAATAAGTCTGCAAGGAAATTCAAATAAAAAATGAAATTAATATCATGTGCCATGTCTGGTCTGGGAAACACAGGCATTGGCTGCACTGAACTAACAGGATTTTAGCAAATAGTGCCCTTTTGTATTCTGCCTAGTGTAACAAATGAAGCAGTGATTTCTGCATGTATGTGTATGGGTAGTTTCCAAGTGCACAAATAATTATTTCTGATCAGCAAACTGCTAGAAAGTATGTGAATTTAGCAATCTGTAGAAACACTATGCTTTGATCTGGTGTTAGAGCTTCTTGACTTCGGTTATTTTCAGTACATAGTGAATCACTCTTATCTGTGATGATGTAACAACTATAATACTTCATAATATTTCTTTATATGTGTATTTTCCTACCAGAGTATGTCCTCTGCTCAGGTAGGTGTCGAATTTTGTAAACTGAAATCCTAGGTAATAAGCTTGGATTGATGTTATAAGAAAGCTTTTAAAAAAAGATTATATGAACATCATATAACAATAATAATCGATGAGAGTCCTTGAAAAAAAGTTAATCAGGTTCCAAATAGATGTTTCAACAGAACAGTCATGCCTTCACTACATGACTATTTCTGTAAGAAATTCAAGGAAAAATTTGGCTTCAGTTTACAGTTTAATTGAGATATTCATATAAAAATATACACATAAACAAACAAGAACATTGGCTGCCAGCTGATAGCTGTTCATCCAGATTTTGTTAGTCTTTTTAAATTCTCCTTTATTTTGGAAAGCTCCAGCTATTGAACTGGAAGCAGAAATAATAGCATATGACAATAGATGGTCAGCTATATATCACAAAGAGCTACAAAAAGTAAGTGGTTTGCAAGGATTTCCCATTTTTTTAAAAAATTAAAACTCAAAAAATAAGAAATTACAAACTTACAAGATTATAATTGCTGGGGTATTGGGGTATTTAAGCTGGCCTATGACTGTTAGTTTTAAAACCATGCCAGTTTAATAAAACTGAAATAATGAAATTACGCTCATACTAACTTAGGCATAAGTGGGTTTAGATTTATCTTTTGTTGTTGCCATGCTGTGTGAATGAGTGCTTTGTGGTGTGCAGCTGCTGCTGTGCCTTATTCTCAGGGCTGCGTCCAAGGATGGCTGGAGCTGCCTCAGTTCCCCCATAGGAAGCACTGCAGCGCAGGACGGTGAAAAGGCATCTGTGAGGCTTGGCTCTGGGCACAGGGATTTCCCTTTCCTGACCATAATAGGAAATGGCACAACACAGTCTCAGCACAGCATGAGCACTTTATATGGTATTCAGCACACTCGAGGAGAGCACCCATCAGCCTCCAGCAGAGAGGAGCAGGTTGGGTGCTCCACGCTGGGCAGCAGAACATCTGGGGTGCTCTGGGTGGCAATGAGGATCTCTCCTACCCTTAGAGGTTGTGACTGTGTTTCTGCGGTCTCAAGTCAGACAAGAAGAAAATCAAGCTCAAGATCTTTGTCAGCTTTGTGTTGGGTTTTCATTGATGCTGGAGTTCAGAATGAAACTGTGCTAATTGCATCAAAATGAACTTTAGCGCTGCAGGGACAATACACTTGGAAAGTGCCGGTTTTTTATCCCGGAATGACTGCCAGGGCTCTTAAGGGAAAGATAGCAAGGCCTGTATTTTCAGTAGAAACAGTTTTATTGTATGCCCTCAACTAATCATTCCCAACCAATTAAATAAAATAATGGGAGAGTAATTTTCCAATTCAGGAAATTATTTAGGCCTCCCTTCCCTAAGATTTATAGGCACTTACCTGACGTGCCACATGCAGGGCTGTTTGCACGCCCAGGCGTACAGCAATGTACCTTTGATGAACTAACTTGGAGGCACAAGAAGAAGGTCACTAAGGCAGGGCAAATGCCTGAGCTGAGGAAGTTCAGGAGTCCCCATTTCTAACTGGACTGTGACCGATACTTTCTCTCACCTTGGGAAGGTTGACCAAGACCTCTTGGTTTCACTGATTGCAGTTCTAGGTATCTGCTTTGCAGGAATTTGGGGGAAAACTGATTCATGTGTGTGATGTTTTGAAAATAAATGAGCCAGTTGACTAAGCTTGTGATTGAAAGTGGGAGGTTTGAAGTTCCCATGCTTTAAATCATTCTCCTTGGGGCACAGTCTGCCCAGAGAGGGGGACCCACAGCTGTATCTCTCCCTAGAGGGACAGGAGACAGAACATGGTTTGAGGTATCTTAGGGATAGTGTCCATAGGAGTGCTGAGCAAGTGACCCTTGGGCAGTCACTCCTGATGGGTGTTAAGAGAGACTGGCACAAATACACACATCTATGTTGTAAATGACTAAGTCTAGCAGAAGAGTCCCACCTCTGGTTCCTATATGCATATATAATTTTCTGTATTTAAGAAAGCATTTTGTACTGTTAGGTGAAAATTGAATTAGTAGTGCCTATGAGTACAAGCACAAGAAATTCTATTCTCAAATCCATTGAACTTGCATTGCTATTTTATTGATGTTGAGATAAAATTTGTGGTCTGATTTGGGTGTGGACAAGGCAGATTCTGTTAGTTCTGAGCAATTTGAAACATGAGTTAGTGGCAACGCACCATCTTATCTGTGATGAAGAAAAAGGCCAAGGTGTTTTTCCAGTGGGCTGTCAGTCTGTGAACTTCTGCACTGAATCTTTTTATTTAATAATATTTAATATAAATGCAAGGGGCAGATGATTTTGGTTTTGTGTTTGGTTTTTTTTGTGGGTTTTTTTTTCAGCTAGGTTGACTTTTTTTCTTTAGCAGAATTGGGAATCTCCATTTGAGTCACTGGTGCTCTAAAGACAAAAACGTTACGGTCACATTTTCTTTGTATGTGTGGGACTCCAAGGGAGGCAATGTAGGCATTGCATGGCAAAGCCAGGAGATAGTTGTTCATAGTTAGCTTTGCAAGTGGATGAGAACCACTTGCAAAACCTCAAATTCTCTTTCGATGGTCCCTATTTATTTAGTTAGTTTTTTTAAAAGTATGACAATATCTAGTTGGGCAGCACTGTGTAAGGCTGGACGGTTTTAAGTAGTTTTTGGTTACTAAAAATACTAATAATCTGTTGTAATATAAGTGAAAACAAATCCTTTATAACTATTACTTTACCACCATCTTAAAATCTAGGCTCTTGAAAAATAAAACTTAATTTCAGAGACATCTCCATTTATGTCTCCATGAAAAATTCTTTGATTTCTGATTGCATTATCCACTTCTTGAAATCAATTTCCTCTTCCTGTAAAAAATGAAAGTTCTAAAAAAAAAAAAAATCCACCAAGTAAACATACTGAGAATCCTGGAACATCTATGCAGGGTGTTGCTGAGATCAACAACAAAGAAATAAACCCCACATGTTTTATCCCATTGTTCTTCCAGTAATTCTTTTTAGATCTTGCAACAATGCAGAACCTTTTCAGACAAATTCCATTTTAGTAATTAATACTGCAAGTTCTGATATACTAGCACATAGGTCCATATGTTCACCTGCAAACTTCAAATCTGATAGACTCAAATACTGAAAAGATGGAAAGTCTAGCTTCTTTCAGGAATCTTGATGTGTGTTTTAGTACATTCCTGAAGGAAAGCTCTTGACTTAGCTCTTTTAAGTTATGCATAACAATTAAATAATTCTTTTGTTGTATGATGTATAACTATCTTATTTTCTGCTTGATTTCCTACTTTCCAATTAAGCATTCCTCATAATAATAATGAGAGCTCTATTTCTTAAGCTCTGTACTTTCTTTCACTCATCAATGGTCTGCCATGCAAGTAAGATTTTTTTCATAGATAGAAACTGTAGATCACTTTTCTGCAGCACAGCATAGGGATCCTCCATGTAAAATCAAAGGTAACAGCTAAGTTCCATGGAAACTTTCTGGGCTTTCTCACCGTGCAGTTTGCCTACTGTTCATGCAGATACATTACAGGGTTATTAATGTCAAAATACACTTGTGTCAATATACTTGTGTGAACTGGAAGACAGAATAATCTTGGCCCTAATTCACATGAACATGGAGACGATTGGAATTTTTCCAGGCTTGTCTGATCTGTGAGTTGACCAACAAGGCGGGGGCAGGGGGAAAGTTGTAGTGGATGCATGACTTTGGTTCAGCAACACACTGGATCATACGAGTACTCTCAGTTGGACTCCAGTGGGTTTATTCATTTATTCAAACATAAGGCTTTACTCAAGCACCCACCAAACCAGAACTTGTCAGCTGCCTTTCAGTGGGAGTTTTGCCTGAGAAAAGACTGCATAATTTGGCTTTTCCATATGTTTTGCAAGTTACTGGAAACTTGTTCAGGTTTACACTGAAGTCATTCTTCAAAAGTCCCTGTTGATTTATTTATTTCAAAGCAGCAGGACTGAGGTGTTGCTCAGCTATCAGAGTACTTTCCAAGCCAACAAGATCTTTTCAGATATTAGCAAGCTTTGGGGATGAAACCTTCATGTGTTTTAATTAAGTAAAGAAGCAATTATTAAAGAGGCAAGAGAGTCATGGGGAATAAAGTGAAGTAAAAACATTTTTGGTTTGGGATGCCACTGCTGAGGGGTGAGTACTTGCATGTTACATGCAAGGACTCTGTCCCTGACAGTGGGTGGGATCCACCTCGTTCGTGATGGGACGTGGTAGCATGCAATAGGAAATGTGTGTGTTTGATTCTACTTACATAAATTAAACCTGAGAAGTATCTCTCCCTTAGATTGTGCAGCACTGAAGCTTCATTGAGGCAAGTCAGCTCCGCCATGTCCTCCACTTTGGAGAACTTTGGAGGGTTCATCTTCTGGATGTCATCCTTGCTCAGTGTTACTTTCTTTCCATTTTCTGCCAGTTCAACTGTCACCTCATCCCCTTTCTCTTCCTTGATACTTGCTGCTTCGAATCCATGTTTCTCTGATGGAATCCAAACCAGTTTCTTCGCTGACCAGTCAGCCTGGGCAAGTGGGTTGTTAATGAAGTTTTTGTCCACAAAGAGGAATTTCTCATCATCGCTGAGAGATTTTTGAGCCATTTTGACTCAGTAGACACCTGTTGAGAAAGCAAAATATTCTGCTTTAAAGAGAGGCAAATGAGATGTTCCAGGCAAAAAACATTTGTCAAATCCGCTGCACAGTAGCCCCAAAGCACTGTAGGTCCTGTGTTATAGCTCATATTTCCATGCAGATATTTTTGGGCGCCAGTTTAGATAGCTTAGAGTATCCGTGTTCGGATTCCCATTCCTTTGTTACTGTGTCTGAAATCACCTAAATCAAAAGCTTCATGGCACTAAAACAGATGAGGACATCTGGGCTTATTAGTTTATTTTGTTTATATTGTAGTGAAGATCAGAGAGAAAAGCAAGGCATAACTAATGTCTGTGCAATAAGACAATATATTAGTACTGCACCAAGTCTACCAGCTCAACAGCTTGCTGCCGCCTCATCTCTTGCCCATCACAAAGTTAACTGGATTCAGATACATAAAGAATTTCTCATCACCCAAATACTGTTGGGTGCATACTGAAATACCAGTGCAACAGTGAAATAATTAGTAGAAGAACAGTTCCCAGGCTGTGTTCCAGAAAGTACAGAAACGAACTTTTCTTGCAAAGGGCTATTTCCGATCACTCCAATACCATTTCATTTGGAGATGTATAAGATGAAGAAAAGGTCAAAAGAAAAAAAAGACAGAAAAAAATTAAATTATCAGTACTGCTGGTGAAGGAGAAGTAATTTAGAGTTATGCCCTTTCCATGGTTCAGGCAGTGGGATCTGATCGTTTAGGAAGGGTAAATGTCTACCACATGAGAGAGAGAAGAAATTAAACAAGCCTGGAAATTGCATCAGCTGTTAGATACTCTGAACCATGATGCTCAAATTGGAAGGATGGTGCACCTGTGTCATGCACTTGCACACAAATAAAACAGCATCGTGCAGTTGCACTTGGATAAAGCAGCCGGAGGTATCTGCTCCAGAGGTGAGAGCGATGGGAGAGTTTTGGCTGCTTTGCATGGTGTCTGGAAGGGAAGTGGCAGCTTCTTTCCTGCTCTGGCCATTGGGGGTTAGGATGTAGCTGCAAGAGCTTTGCTGATCGTGCTGGAGGTTTTGTAAGTGTTCTGCTCTGTCCTATGGGACACACAGCTCTAAATGAGGAAAGGAGTAAACAGAGGACTTCTTGTGGTTTGCTACAGG